TTGGTAAACTTGTGATGCAACCTCTGCCCTAATTTTTTATCGAAACTGCTCTCGGTAATGTTGCTGAGTAAATACTGGGTATCTTTTAAGTTAGTTGTTTTGATAAGAAGAATTTACTTCTGCTAGTTTTAGGATGTAAGTAATTTGTAAAAGTGCCATCCGCAATGAGAGGTGCTAAGCCAGCAACTCATTCGCACTAAACTAGGGTATCGCTGGTAAAATGATCATTTAGATTTAAAACTTAGAAGATTGTAGAAGCTGTATCTTTAATGTTATTAATGTAATTTGGTTTTTCTATGTAGATTTAGAGATCGAGAATGAATATTGGCGGATTAAATGCAGCCCTAAAGTTGATTTTCATGTGCACGCCTATCACCGTAAGCACTTCCTCAAAAGCTGTCTATCTTTATTTTGATGCAACAATTATCATCTCACTGCCACAACTTTGCCACTAATCTTCCTTTGACGCTTCTATAAATGCACAGTCAAAGGGTACTTGCAAAGACAAGCGTCTACCTACTCGGTAAATTAAAGAAAGAAAATAAGGGGATTATTTACTGATAGAACTTGTCAACTGATGCATAGTGGGCAACGGGTTGTTCTGCGCAATGAAGCGCACGTTGGTGTTGTCCCTGGCGAGGCACTAATTTGGCTTCTACTGCGGGTGGAATAATTGCGTTACATAGGTAAATAGATTCTGCGTACTTCTACCCATAAAAGGGAAGAGTCGGTATCAGGTCCAATGGTGCACATAGAATCCGTGAGCGTTGGGCTCTTTGATTCAGAGATAGAAGTGATGAAATCGGTATCAGAGTTGGTTGTGGTCTCAGGATTTGTAGGTTCCGTATTCTTAATATCAGTGATCGAAGTAGTATACTCGTTATTATTGCTGGCTGCAGACGCAGAATTCGTTGATGTAGTCACGATATTCATCGGTTTGCTCCTTTTCTCGGTGTTAATATTTTAACCATCCGTTTGATTAAATATGAGGTCGAGTTGGTATGGATGGATCACTGAAATGACACGTGGCTATCTTTGCCTAGCCTGCACTAGCCTAGTCTCGCTTAGTCTAGTCTGATCTTGTCAGATCCAGTCAGGTCAAACTTGGGCTGTTCGAGTTAAGACAACCATAGCCTAGCTTGCCTGGTCTACCGTGATTGCATGAGAGGAAGCAAGATAACCTTTTTTGGTTAATCGAAGTCCATTGGAATCTATCCTTTAATGACGCGGCAGACGACAAGCTGAGGAATTCCTGGCCAGCAAAGTAGCTGAGGAGCCGAAGGTTTAACTATTAAGAAGTATGATACAACAATTTCCGCTGAATGAATTGCAGACGATCTAGTTGTGAATGTTTCATGGACCATTTGCAGAGATGAGGTTACATAAAATACTAAATCAAATAACAGGAGCTGAGTCCTAGTAATGACATGCTAAAGCATGCAAAAGGCGATGATCAAGGTAACAGCTATAGAATTGCTTTTTACTACTTTCGCAACCAAGGTCATTCTAACAGCATATCCAGCAAATATTATTTTCCCT